GACAATATGACGCCCTCAGAATCTCCTTTTATGGTACTAAAAAGGCACTAATCCCGTCCCCTTGTCCATACACATAACAACCTCAGCACATCCTCAAAACAACAATTCAGGACTTTTTCAGTATTTTTTCAGAACAACGGTAGAGTGGCCGGTTCAGTACTGTGGGCAATGATACTAGTTAGGATTTACTTCTTTTCGTGACATTTTCATACATCAAAAGAAAAACACCTGCGAGGTCTCGAGTATATATACTGTATCAATCAACAGAGAGGTGAGAGTGCTGGACTATTAGAGTAAAAGAAACAAAGCTTGTTGACTGAAATTTATTTATTTAACAGTAATTAATCACAATAGACAGCTTTGTCAGGCATTCGAGTCCGCGTATAGTCTGAAAAAAGGAAAGCAGTATCAAGGCAGTCAACACAGCTCAATCAACTACATTTGTAATCTTCTTTGAAAGTTTGACACAGTGTCCTCATCACCACGTGTATCACACCCAATGCAATCACTAGTGCTAGAGGCTCCGCATGACAGGCTATCAGTACACTCAACACGGGCGTTGACTTGACTTGCCCGAGGTCGGGCCATGTGTCAGATGCAGAAGTCGATCCTTTCACGTTGGGATCAGGCTGCTTCGAAGCCCAATTGATCGCGATTGGCTGTTGTTCCAGGCTGCTTCGAACCACACCTCGCCGCGGTCGGCTGGTGACAATGCATCCATGATCAGTCTGAACGTTGAGCATCCCAGTGCACTCATCAACACGGCAATTTACCTACCGTCATCACCTACGACTTACACTCTCACACATATCTCACTTTTAACCATGCACACAAACAACAAAGGACACGAACCTTCACTAGTTCACTGCACTTTTCTTGACAAGACCGCCGCTGCCATTTTGACAGTCAGTTGGCTTGGAATGGCTTGGCCAGCTGCTAGTTTGTTACTACGTGCTACAGCGACGTATAATGACAAATTTAGGGCTGTGACATTTAAGAACACACTGTTTCAAATGGACATTTCGCAATACCAGGTTCGATGCCTAAGTCAAATGATTACGTGTGTCTTACTAAGCGCGACGCATAATTTGAAAATTTTCTACAAAAAAAAAACGAGGCGAAATTATACAATAACTTTATGACTGTAAGAAACAAACGTGTGGAGAAAGTTTTCACGTATGAAATGCATCTACTTGGTGCGTAAAAGTCTTCAGGAATTATATCTAAGTGCTCAGTGCAATGCTTCTGTCATCCCCAAAAGATCCTTAACAGGATCTTTTCCAGACCAGTTGTTGTCCTCAGAAAGCACTCGAAAAGACGTTTCCGGGGCAAACCAGCTTGTGTTGTCCTCAGTAAGTACTAAGGTCAATGAGAACTGTGCGAGGACGATTGTACCATATGAGGACGACCTCAGGACATCGACTGTTGTCTGGGCACAGGGCATGACCTTGAACTCGAAGAGGCCGTCTGGTGTAATGAAGGCAGTCTTTTCTCGGTCTCGCTCGTCTACTTCGGTTTGCCAGTAGCCTGTCTTGAAGTCCATCGATGAAAAGTATTTCGCGTTGTGGAGTCGATCAAGGGCGTCGTCTATTCAAAGGAGAGGGTATACATTCTTCGTGATCTTGTTGAGGCGCTGATAGTCAACGGAGAAGCGTAGTGCTCCATCGTTTTTCTTTACTAACACCACCGGTGATGCCCATGGGCTCTTTGAAGGCTGGATAATGTTGTCCCATAGCATTTCGTCCACTTATTTTTTTTTATGGCATCGCGTTTTGTCGTCGAAACTCTGTAAGGGCTCTAACAGAGTGGCCTGACAGTTTCTTCTGTTACGATTCAATGTTTCACAACAGGGGTCTGTTGAATTCGTGACAATGACAAAAGGCAGTTCTCGTATTTCAAGAGCAGGTTTCTGAGCTGTTTTTGTTTATGCGTCAGAAGGCTCGGATTGATGCCCAAAGCTGGTTGAAGGGCTTGACTCATCGGAGTAGATTCGGCAAAATCGGTGATCACGAAAGCGTTGCTGGCTTCCAGTATCTCTTCGATGTACACAACAGTCGTGCCTTTGCTCACGTGCTTGTACTAGCTGCTGAAGTTCGTAAGCATCACTCTTACATTCTCTCCTCGTAGCTCGTCTATTCCTCTGGCATCGCAAATTTTGCTACTGATCAACAGGTGTATCCAGTGATGTTTGTTGATTCTTGAGTGTCGACGGAAATGCTGACACTGGAGCGAGGAGGAATTGCGACTTGGTCTTCCTGCAGATTTAAGGCGTGCCTTCCTGACAGCGTGTGTCGTGGCTGTGCTTTTTCAGTGGATAGTGTTATCGACTTTGTTCTCAAGTCAATGACAGCACTATGAAGGCTTAAGAAGTCCATGCCAAGAAAGACATCTCTCGAGCAATGTTGTAGTAAGACAAAACTTGCGGGATAAATGTGGCTGTTAATATTGACTCTCGCTGTGCAGATTCCTGCTAGCGTAACTAGGTGACATCCAGCTGTACAAATTTCGAGGCCAAGGTGGTCCTAACTTTTTTCAACTTCGCGGTGAACATCCCACTGATGATGGAATAGTCGGCACTGGTGTCGGCGAGAGCTGTGACTCTGGCCGTCAATAAGAACGTCGAGGTCACTAGTTCGTCGCTTCCCGTTGTAGTTTGGTCATGGCGTCGAATCACAGCTATAACAGTTTGTACGGCTACTTCAACGTTGTGTCGTCAGGCCGTCTTCAGTACGTGGGGTTTTTTTTGTCAAGGGCTTTGCCTGGTTCACATCATGTTTGGAGAGTACCGTCGCGGCGTTGGAGGATCTTCAGTAGTTTGTCGCACAGCAACCGGACCTCCAGCAGTTGCTGCCCTTAGTTTCTCAGATAAGGGCTCGGAGACCAGCCCCTGGTCGGGCCAGTGTAAGGACGGCGGTGAGGCGACATGTATCGGCCAGGTGGCGGTGAACGAGAAGATCTCCGGGGTGTCCACTGCACTGCTCTAAGGTAGTCAGCAATGTCGCGGGTTCTTTCCTCCCGCTATAGACGCGGCGCATCTACGGCGAAACCGCGCAGTCCCATTCGACGATACTGGCAGTGGCGGTAAGTGTGGCCAGCTTCAACGCAGTGATAGCAGAAAAGTCAGTGGTCGGGGGCACGCCACATCTCAGTTTTTCTCGGAGGGTCTCGCTGGCCGGCAGGTGGACTGTATGTCGTCGATGATGGCGGTGGCAGGCGGTGGAACTGTGATGATGCAGTCTCTTGTCATGGGCGTGAAGCGGGAGCATGGCGTCAGGTTGCAGCAGCGTAGCTCATCGCTTGCGGCTGAGGCTGCGGAGCTTAGGAAATTCCAAGCGATTGCCGAACTTCTTCACAAATGGTGTCGGCAATCGAATTCATTTGGGGCTGCGACAAAGGCAACTGGTTCTGTAGCTCCTCCCGCACGATCTGTAGTATGGTCCCAGGCAGGTCGTCCGTGCTGAGGGCATGAGCTTCGGCTTAGTTGGCTGTTGAAGAGCGACGGTCATACTGCCTTGTGCGCATCTCGAGTGCCTTCTCAAGTGTCGTGGTCTCGGTAAGAAATTCGTAAAGTCTTGGGCAAGTTGCGCACAAATCCCACAAACATTTTCATTAAGTAGCTGCACCCGGGTATCAAGCAGCTCTTTCTTTGAGGGCGACACTAGTAAAAGTTTCCAAGAATGCGCTGTGAGAAAGATCGCAGGACCGAAGTGCTGACTTCCCATTCTCGAACCAGGTCCTTGTCGCATCTTCCAGGTAGTAGTACATGCGACGCAGCTTTTCTTCTGAGTCTTACTGGTTCAAGGTGGCCACTCAATCGTATGTCTCCAGCCAAGTCTCTGGTTCTTCAAATGATGAACCGTGAAAGCTCGGTGGCTGCTGCATTACGACCATGGCAGGCATCGGTACAGGGGCTGTCATAGTTGTCGCAGTAGTGGTTTTGGCCTTCGGCTTGCGAGTATTATCAAGTAGAGCTCGTACTCCGGAGGTAACCCTTCTTGCCATTGGCTTGCTCGCAGTTCGAAGTTGGCCGGAAGTTTCAAGTGGGCCTTAACTGTTAGGGATTGGCTCTCGACTGGAGAGGGGCGTGCGCTACATGGATCAAAAAGCACCTTCACCTGATGTCACGCAGTCATGACTTCGATGAAGGGAGCAGACTAGGTTGCAGATTAAATTGTTTTTTCAGCCAAACTTGTGGCCAGATAAAAAAATTCAGATTACAGCAAAAAACTGGCACTGATAGCGGCGAGCAGAGCATCGGCCATTAATCAACTGAAAAACGGCCAAGCATGTCGGCATTTATACACTTGTCATCAAATATTCTAGCATTATCACTAGCGGTGAAGTAGGTTCCAGAATAATCTATAATTTTCACGAAGTGGCTGTAATTTTAACAAAATAATCTACTCCTGTCCCGAAGCTTTCCGAACAGTGTAGGCGTGGTTTGGGCTGAGAATTACTGGCACTGAAATGGGGTGATAACAAAACATGACGAGACAATGTGGCAATATGGATCAAATGGATCCGTCTTCCGCATGATTCATATCACAGTTTCCACATCGCAGTATGGTCTGCCTGTATAACAGATACAAATTTTTTTATGTGTATACGCTGTTTTTCGCACTTCTTTACAATTTCTGTATATATCCATATACATCCGTATGAAATTTTTGTATTTTATGTGGATAATACTCGGAAGTCATATATCTTTTGCATAATGGCGTTTGGCTTTTTTCAGTAAGGTGCGTTCAAAAACTTGGATAAAACCTCACATCAAGAACTGTGTGACTGCTTCTGATGCCTAGGTTATGGGAGTTAACAAAAGTGATCATGACTGAAAAAATAATATTGTGCTTGCAAAAGTAAAAATTTTTTTACAAGTACGTCAGTACCCAAAAACTTTAGTATAAGGGCTTATTTCTTGGCACCTTTCATGGTTTTCCATCTATGTGCTGTAAATAGGTGCTTTTTCAAAATGAAACTAATGATTTCTAATTACTCAGTATTGTTAACGCAGGCACAAAGTTTTTGGCGCCAAGAGGGAACTGGCTTGTGTCAACTGGTGTTGACCAGCGGCTTCGTCTCTGGCAACGCGTTGCTGGCTCCTTGCAAGAGCACTGCAGCCGATTCTCCTGTATCCCTGATATTGCTGCCTTCACATCGTGGAGGCAAGAGCTTTTTTTTTATTACCTTTATGCCTTGCTCTGCATTTGGGCTATTACAATGATAATTTACATGCCACAGAAAACGTTGTGTCATTCCTACTTTTTGACCGCATAGCACACACTGGTCATTGGATTTACATTTTTGCTTTGGTCGGCAGTGCTCCTAGGAGGCTGTCACTGTAGAGTGTGAATTTTTATGAAAGGGAACATGCGACCGCATTGCCTGCGCACTCCGGGTGGATGGATGGACGCTATGAGTGTGCACTTTAAACAGGCCAGTGACATGTTTGCGACCAAGCTCAAAAGAAAAAAATGAAAACTCTCTTTTTGTCTTGGCCAAATGCCTCATCTGCTTCAATTAAAACAATCCTGTTACAGTCGAACTCTGCTACTACGAAACTGATGGGGCGCGAAAAAAATTTTATTGAAACGAAAATTTTGTTGTAGTGAAATAAAAAAAAATATAGCTGATCTGAATAATACGGAAAGACGGGCTAGTTGGTACTGCTGCATAATTGAAGTTTTTGCGCACACACACAAGGACACAGAAGAAGGGAAAACAAGGACCAGCGCAGAAGCTGCGCTGGTCCTTGTTTTCCCTTCTTCTGTGTCCTTGTGTGTGTGCGCAAAAACTTCAATTATGCAGCTGATCTGAGCTAGCAAAACAAACGAACATTTATTCTCAAAATTCGAAAAATGTCCACTGCTTCCTATTCTTTCCCAGCAACGTCACGATGTCATTCTCACTCATGCATTGTGAGGTCATGGTGGAAAGCATGCTGAAACACGCCTAAAACTGCCTTCGTGAGTGACCAAACAGTTGCATTAACATCTTAACACTAGCAGCTGTTCGCTGTCAAAAGTACCCGACAACGCCTGAAGATAGGGTATCGTGGAGCAGCGACTTTTGCACTATTCTATGTCGTTCTGATCATCCATCACTCGCAGCTAGCTCATTTTATTGATAATGCAGCTGAACAGCCGCTCTGATTACTTACCACATTGGCCAAGCACGAACATAATCATAAGCATCGGAAACGCAAAAGGCATCATTCCACGGTTGCCCCCAGCCGCTAGAGGTGTGCGCTGAGGCGGCTGTGACCGGCGGCGGCGTGGAGGTCGTTTTGAGTCGGCATCAGCGCACGTCGTGCAAAATGATCGGCGGCGACGCACGGCCACTTTTTGTCAGCGGCAGCGGCGCCAGCGGCGTGAAAATCAAAAGTACAATTTAAAAAAAATTACTTTACTGTGTTTTCTCTGTTTATTTAGCTGAAATTCAGTACTTTTAACAGTAATGCCTGAGACAACAGCATAGAGATGTAAGAGGACTGGCAAACGCTCCATAAATGATTTGTTTTTCAGCTCACATATCGAATGTAAGTTCTTTCAGCGAGCCCCGTTTGTTCAGATAGCTAACACTGTATCACAAGAAATTTCATTTCTTTTTAATCTCACAGCAATGCTGTTATATCTGCTAGGTTTTTCCCTTATTAACTAGCACTTTGTATATTTTTACTCCCAAGTAATTGTTAATCTTTTATTTATTATCAAATGTGCCACTTGCCTCTGTGATGCCTTCCGGCCTTGAGGCTACTATTAAATGAATGAATAATGAAGGAGCCTCTTTTCAACGGGTAAGTAGGGGCAAGTGGAGCTCGCAGTCTTTGTGCGTAATGTACTGCTTTTTTCTTTCTGAGTAACAGACAGGTGGACAATTTATGTTGGTCACAATGGCATATAGTGATTCATGAAACACACGAGAAAGGCGCTAGTTCGTCTCTCATGAGAGGACACTACTCAGCGAGTTATGACGCAAGTGGTACAACGCATCGAATACAATAAGAGCGAAATGAATGTAGGACTGCATGTGCTTTTTTCTGTTTCCATTTTTCAGACAACATTCTTGTAAGACGCAAGGAGGTCCGGGTGGGGGGTGGAGTGGAGAGCAGTGCTTGAGGCTCGTTTGCTTGTGAGACCCCTCTTTATCTACATACCAGCCCATACTCCCTCCCCCTTTCGTTCCCTTAAAAGGAGTACTAAAACAAAATTTTGAAAGTGAAATAACTTGTCAAACAGATTTGTGTAGATGCACACGTCATCTGTGAAATGTAAACAAATATTGTCGTCTAGAATGTAGTCAAAAATAATTTTGAATCATGTGTCACCCTTCAGCATATTAGATATGCCTTCGTCATTCGGGTAAACAATCACCCCCCACATCACAAGTTTTGTATTGGCTGTTCCTGGCGAACCATTGCAAGGGAAAGAAAGGCAGACTTGTACGGGAATACAAAGGCTGGTGTTCGAGCTTCAGCAGCGTTTTTTGAAGGGGTCACGCATATTTACAACACCGGAAAGGAGATAACAGGGGCGCCCACACCTTCGTTGAAAAGACTTGTCGACATGGTGATTCACGTGCACGCGGTTTTGTGCGTCCACCTAGCCAGTTAGCTTTGCACCAAAACCCAGGATCCCTTTCCTTTATGCGCGAAACCCTCTTGGTCCCGCCTCACTCGGCGCTCTGGGGAACCAAGACTTTAACAATTAACATTGTGTGCTCAAGCAAACGAGCTTTCTGATCGTGAGTTGCAAAAAAAAACTACATTTTTTGCGTAAATGTTTCTTTGCTCACAGAGTCCAAAAAATAGGGGCTATTTATGACGCGCACCAGTCTTAGCTCCAATCACAGTGTGTCGAAGACGGTGGTGCTAGGGCGTAATGTATGACTGGAAGTAGGGATGGTCATAAATTAAATGGCTGCCACAAAGGCTTTAGCAACGCTTCATTGTGCAAAAGATACTTTCTTTTTATCTTGCTGTGCTATCTCCATGCCTTCCCATGACCCCCTGCACAGCTTTGTTTTGTGCTTGCCAGCTATGGGTGAGGCGAGTTTTAGCTAATCCCACCAGCTTCACAGATCAGTTACTGTAGGCTTCCCCTGAAAAGCAACCATACACGTACAAAAATGTTCGAAATCACCTTTCTTGGGCAAGAAAAAAGAAATCTGAACAAACGTGAAAACTCCAATCAAAATAACCAATCATCCAATCACCACTGGTCAGAACAGCGGTGGAAGGGAGAAAATAATCCGTGACTTCGGCACCAACAGTTATTTACAAAGGCGTTTATTCACAGAGCCCTCCATAAGAGAAAGGAAAGGGAAAATGCGACACAAACCGCACCGCAACAACGCCACGTGTCGATTCCCTACATCGTGGGCGCCCGACTCCTGCCTTTTTAGGCAAGAGTCGACGTTGCCTTCTACCACCATCGGCAGTTTCATCCGCTGGTCCAAAGACCTTGCACCTGCAGGAAGAATGTAGGGCGTTGTGTGCAATATTGGGTGCGCCGGCTAAACCAAAAACTTTTATGAAAAAATGTGGCAGCACAGGAATGACTTTCGTCAAATGAACAGCTAGTGAACGGAACGCAGAGACAGAACATTGTTAGCGAGTTGGCCACCGTACTAGTCCCGACAGCGCGGTGATCTTCTAAACAGAAAGAAACTGTAGTATCGTGCGGCGGACGCACCGCATGGAGAACACAAGGCACGGCGCTGTAGCGCCGGCGGACAAGGAGTACGCAGCAGCCGGTAGCCATCTTGCACCGAAGCTTAGAGAGGACAGCCGCCATTAGGCCTGGCATCTTGAATTGCTCGGTGAGCAGAACTCTAGTCTGTTGTCTTAGACCTAAGTTCTCGCTTTCCCCGTTCGAACTTCTTGTTGTGTGGTGACTTCAATTTCCGAGACATTGATTGGGTTCACCTAGCTGCTCACTCACCCCTTTCAAAAAACTTTCTAGATTTGTGCCTTATGTTTAATTTTGCCCAAATGGTTACTATGCCCACTCGTGGTACCAACATACTCGATTTATTTTTGGTCTCAACTCCCGATCTTGTAAACTCAGTTCAATGCATAGATGGTATCAGTGACCATAAAATTTTATTAATTGGCCTTTCCATTCCTATTCCTACCCGACAACCTCTCAATAAGTACATCTGCAATTATAACAAAGCCAATTTTTCCAAAATTAATGAAGAACTGGCAGATTTCTATGAAACGTTTTTTCATTGTGCTGCTTCGCGAACATTCGAACAAAACTGAGTGTTATTTAAAACAAATTGCTGTCCTTAATGGACAGACATGTACCTATAATCTGTATTCGCGGGGATGCCGAAATACCATGGTACTTTAATTCCTTGAGGAGGCTGTCAAAAAAGAAAAAACACCTCTTCAGAGAAGCCAAGTTATCGAAATCCCCTGTTAAATGGGAAAAGTATCGCACATGTTTGCGCGAGTACACTTTACTGTTAAAAAATGCAAAAAGGCAATTCTTCGGTCATGATCTCCTTGGCAGTTTGCGCGACAACCCACAAAAATTTTGGAAGTATTTGTCTCCTAAAAACAGCGCTGCTCAAAACTAGCAATTTACTAATCCCAATGGTTCGGCCGTTTCCGCCACTGACTCCGCCGAAATAATTAATTCCCATTTTTCATCTATATTCACGCATGAACCCTCCACCGATGTTCCGTCCTTGCCGCCCACAGACTTCCCGCAGATGCCACGCATTTTTGTTACAAGCGAAAGAATAGCAAATCTAATCGACAACCTTAAATTCTCGAGTTCCCCTGGCCCAGACAATATACCCACTAAAATTCTGAAAAGCACAAAAATAATATCCAGTCTTATCCTACAATTTATTTTTAACCAATCCCTTGACACTGGTTTTATTCCTAAAGACTGGAAGATAAGTAAAGTCACCCCCGTGCCCAAATCAGGAAGCCCTTCAGACCCCTCAAACTATCGTCCTATTTCGTTAACATGCATTGCCTGCAAGCTGCTAGAACACGTAATCTACTCCCACATTGCAACTCATCTGGACCAAAATTCCTTCTTTTTTTCTAACCAGCACGAGTTCCGGCGCGGACTGTCGTGTGAGACACAGTTGTACGAATTTTCTACTGACCTTCATTTTAACCTAGACTCTTCTTTTCAAACAGACG